ACTCTAAGAAGTATGAGATCTGTTCTTCCTCAGACTTTAAAACAAATCTAATCCAGCTCAAATCAAGATAATTCATAAAATCATCACTTTCAGAGTCTGAAGGAAAAAGGGAGAAGAAGTTGAGAGTACCTGATTTAATCTTTCCAAGAGGGCCGGCCCGGTGGTGCACTGGATGGTGCACCGCTTGGGAAGCGCGGCGGCGCTCCCGCCCAAGGGTTCGGATCCCACATACAGACCGGTTCCCGCTCACTGGCTGAGCGAGGTGCGGGAGCAACACCGAGGGTTGCAATCCCGTTGCCGGTCCCCGGTCCAGTACGGGGGCAACACTGAGGGTTGCGATCCATTGCCGGACGCGAAAAAAGACAAAAAGGAAAAAAAAAAAAAAATCTTTCCAAGAATGTTTATCATTTCCATCTTACATTTTGTGAGGCTGTGTCTAAGAGTTAGGAGCACAGACTGAAACCAGACTGCCAGAGCTCCACACTGCTATTCTCAATAGCTCTGCAATCTCGGTCAGGTTCCTTAACTTCTCTGTGCCTCAGTTTCCTCTTCAGTGAAATGGGGATAATAAAAATACCTACTTACAGGGCTGATGTGAAGACTTAGTTAACATATGTAAAGTACTTAAAACAGTACTTAATCCATAAACATGCCATGATTTTTTAAAAATTACAAATAAGAAATCAAGTCTTAGGTATTTTAATTAATTTGCTGAAGACATATCCAGGATATGTATGTATTGGGATAGTGTTATCAAAATTTAAAATTCAAAATTCTTTCTGGCTGTCCTTAAAGTGTGTAACAGGAAGGAGGTGTGACAGAAAGCAAGAGTTTGTGTTTCAGTGTGAAAGATGGAAAGGGATAAAATAAGAAATGAATGTTTTGAAAAATAAATGACAGTAGAAATGAGTAATGAGGTAAAGGCTGTGTATGAAGCTTTTGTGAGCTCACTTGGAATTTCCATACCAAAAAAAAAAAAAAAAAGGAAGAAAGAAAGAAAGAAAAGAAGTGAGCTGCATGAGAAATCAAAAGGAAATAGGAAGAAACTTTTTTATTCATACCTGTGTCCAATTTTAGCCTGATTTTTTACTTGATACTTTTCCACGATGGCACCAGATATTAAACATGGCAGACTATTTCAGCCGAACAAAAATATCTGGTGACAGGATTTGTTTATAGCACAATTTATTTGCAGGACATAGCAAGTGTGCAGATGTCTCGACATTAGTAATCAGTTAAAGCTGTGAGATTCATATTACAATAAGCACAGCATTACTCAGCTAAAAATGATAATTTAGGGTTATATGTATGTGCATGTGCTGTATGTGAGTATAGGCTAATTATCTGTTGACAATTTAGCAGCACCACCACCTCCTTACAAAGCTGAGAACTGTTTTTCCCAGAACCCCTGTATGTTCTGGGTTAGCATTTGCCTATGAGAAAAATGTGTAAGAAACTTGGAAGGTGAAAATAAAGTGGGAGGTGTCATTTCTTGGAAGATGATGGCAGTCAGACAGGAGTTTGGAATATTTACACAAGCCCTACTTTTAGGTTGTGTCTAATGTGGCAACTTGGCAACCTCTCTATAAGTTACTAATTTATTACTATCATGCTAACAAGACATGACATCTTCTCAGGCATGCCCACAGCAGTCAGAAACTTCTGATGCTTTAGGTTGACATCCTGGAGCTTCAGTCTTACAGATTCTCCTGTTCCTCACATATTCATATAACCCCTAATTCTTGATTAAGTACCTTATTCTTGTAGTATTGATAGTGGGTCTATTTTCTTGACCTAATTCAGGCTGATACTATAACTATGTACACATATCCTAGGTCATCCAAGATAGCCCCAACTTCATTAATAAATCTCATAATCCCCTCAAGAATTCCTGGCATTCACACACTATTAGTTTGCCTAGAATAAAAATAAAAATTGAAAATACCAAATGCTGGTAAGGAGGTGGAAATAGGATATCTCTCATTCACTGCTGGTGAGAATGCAAAATGGTACAGTCACTTTGGAAGACAGTGTGGCATGCAGTCTTACCATCCAATCCATCACTTGCAGTCTTCGGTATCTACCCAATCGAGTTGAAAACTTATGCTCATACAAAAAACTTGTACACAAATGTTTTTAGCAGCTTTATTCATAATCACCAAAACCTGAAAGCAACTAAGATACCTTTCTAAAGGTGAGTGAATAAAGAAATTTTGGCATATCCATACAATGGAATATCATTCAACAATAAAAAAAGGGCTATCAAGCCACAAAAAGACACAGTAGATTTTTAATTGCATATTTCTAAGTGAAAGAAGACAGTCTAAAAAGGCTACATACTATACAACTCCAATTATATGACATTCTGGGAAAGGCAAAACCATAAAGACAGTAAAACGATCAGTGATTTCCAGGGGTTCAGGGTAGAGGGGAGGGATAAGTAGGTGAAACACAGGGAGTTTTTAGGGCGACAAAACTGTTCCGTATGACACTGTAATGGCAAATACATGACATTATGCACTTGTTAAAACCCATAGAACTTTACAACTCAATGTATACAAATTTTAAAAATCATTTAGGAGATCAAAGGATTCAAGGAAAGAATGCAGACCGTGACAAGAGAATCTAACTGTATTACATGTATAACCATATTATAAATGTATGAAACAACCTCACTGAAGTGGGTGTGGGAAAAAGTGCTGACCTAAATAACTTAGGGAATGAATGGAGTGTGTAAAACTCAAAGCAGAAGAAATTGCACATAAGCACTATACAGTAATTGATCAAGTTATTTCCCTTCCAGGTACAGGTTAACAATTCTGAGACTGCTATTCATGTATACTGGGATTAAACAATTAAGCTGATGGGGAGCGGGGGGATGACAGGAGCCATGTTTCTCACTGTTGGAGTGGGAACTCATAGAGAAGCAAGGGGAGGAGGCTGACATGACCCACGTGATAACGGATTGGAGTTGTACACATCAGCGAGGACTCCTTAATTTATTATAGGTACAGATGGCTACCTACGTAAATATTTATAAAAAAATAGCAACGAGCACACCTAGTGCCTAGATCTTGGCTTCTAATACCATGCTCCATTAAAAGTAACCAGGGCTCCTTGCAAAAATAACTGATTCTAGAGCTGGGTCAGGAAATATGTG